AGAGACCAGAGGGACTAGAGAAAAACCGGAGACAGAATAGAGTGAGACCAAAAACACAATGGAGAGACCAGAGAGAGAGAAAAGTTAGAGACCAGGGAGAGACTAGAAAGAGAGAGACACTAGAAAGACTATGAAGAGTGACCAGGGAAAATATATACATACTGTACATGGTGAAGTCCCCCACGTGGCTGTGTTCCTGGTTCCTCTGCAGACTATAACACGTGTATGACTTCTAAACTGGATTGTGTTGTTATTAGTTGACCTGGCACCAGCTGCAGACCATTATTCCTCTGCAACCATCGCAGGCCGGAAAGACAAGCGTGTTTAGTCACTGAACAGCGACACAGAAGATCGAGGACCAGGGGACAAAGTTCACGTCTGGATGTGGAGAAACATGTGTCAAAGTCTGGTTTTCAGCAAATTCATCAACACAAGACAATCACAGAATATCCCTGATTTGGCATGAAGCTTTGGGAATCTGGTCTCTCTTTATGGTCCCTCTCTCTCTGATCTCTCTGGTCCTTCTTTCTGGTCTTCCTCTATGGCCTGTTTCTGGTCTCTATTCTGTCTCTTTCTCTGGTCCCCCTCTCTGGTCTTTTTCAGGTCTCTCTCTGGTCTCTCTCTCTGGTCTCTCTCCGGTCTCTTTCTCTGGTCTCTCTTTCTGGTCAATTTCAGCTCTCTCTCTGGTCTCTGTCTGGTCTTTCTCTCGCCTCTCCCACTGGTCTCTTTTCTCTGGTCTCTCTCTCTGGTCTCTTTCTGGTCTCTCTCTCTGGTCTCTCTCTGGTCTCTCTCTCCCTCTTTGACCAGCGAGAGAGAGAATGGAGAGATACCAAAGTGAGACAAAAATAGAGATGAAAGAGACAGGAGAGAGAGACCAGAGAAAAGCCTAGAAAGACCAGAGGGAGACCAGAGAGAGACTAGAGAGAGACCGGAGAGAGACTAGAGAGAGACCAGATAGAGACCAGAGAGAGACCAGATAGAGACCAGAGAGAGAGACCAGAGAGAGACCAGAGAGAGACCAGAGAGAGACCAGAGAAAGTGCTTTACGAATAGAAACAATGATACAGTCTAAAGTCTGTGGAACTGGGGACATAGTTCACGTCTGGATGTGTAGAAACATGGAGTCTGGTTTTCGGTTAATTGGAGCCACGTTTGTGAGAGTGGGAGGACAGAGAGGGGAGAGGCTCCGACACTTTGCAGGACTGTGTTTTTGGACAGAAAAGTCTTTTTAAACTCAATGGTGAATTACTACAGACATGTCTCAGACCAAAGTAACAGCAAACCAGATGGAGAGAGAGAGCAGAGGGGACTAAAAGACACATTGACTAGAAATTTAACAGTGATTGTGTTGTAATTTACAGACAAGGGGACCAGAGAGAGGAAAGAGAGAGACCAGAGAGAGAAAACAGAGAGACCAGCGAGAGACCAGAGAGAGGGACCAGAGATGGACCAGAGAGAGACGAAAGACCTAGGACCAGACAAACACCAGAGATAGACCAGCAAAAGAGAACATAGAGAGACTAGAGAGAGACAAGAGACAGACTAGAGAGAGACTAAGAGACCAGAGCGGGACCAGAGAGAGAGACCAGAGAGAGACTAGAGAGAGACTAGAGAGAGAGACCAGATAAACACTAGAAAGAGAGAACATAGTGAGACGAGAGAGAGAGACAAGAGTGGGACCAGAGAGAGAGAGACCAGAGCGGGACCAGAGAGAGAGAGACCAGAGAGAGAGACCAGAGAGAGACTAGAGAGAGACTGAGAGAGAGACCGGAGAGAGACCGGAGACCAGATAAACACTAGAAAGAGAGAACATAGTTAGACGAGAGAGAGAGACAAGAGTGGGACCAGAGAGAGAAAACAGAGAGACCAGCGAGAGACCAGAGAGAGGGACCAGAGAGAGGAGAGAAAGAGACGAGAGACCAAGGACCAGATAAACACCAGAGATAGACCAGCAAAAGAGACCAGAAAGAGACTAAATAGACTAGAGAGAAACACGAGAGAGAGACTGGAGAGAGACCGGAGACCAGATAGACAATAGAGAGAGAGACCAGAGAGAGAGACCAGAGTGGGACCAGAGAGAGAGACAAGAGTGAGACCAGAGTAGGACCAGAGAGAGAGACCAGAGAGATAGACCAGAGAGAGAGACCAGAGTGGGACCAGAGAGAGAGACAAGAGTGAGACCAGAGTAGGACCAGAGAGAGAGACCAGAGAGATAGACCAGAGAGAGAGACCAGAGTGGGACCAGAGAGAGAGACCAGAGAGAGACCAGAGAGAGAGACCAGAGTGGGACCAGAGAGAGACAGACCAGAGAGAGACAGCAGAAAGGGGCCATAGAGAGACCAGAGAGAGCAAACCATACTAGCAAAGAATGGAGAGCGAGGAACTAGCGACATTTCATCTACTTTATTTCATAGTTTTTAACACATCACGTACGTCGGCTTTCAGCGATTTCACATCATGTAATCAAGACCAAACGGTTTCTCCTGCTTCAGACTCAACACAGATAAGAAAGAGAGAGCAGTATTCTCCAGAAGACGACTCACATCTGTTCTCATGAGGGCATAATGTGATCCGTACACTCTGCCGCCAGGGCCCGAGTCCAAGAGAGATCTTTTTTGGAGTTTTTGAGGTTTGGTGAGTGTTGTGGACCAGATGCTCCGCTGCAGGCAAAGAAGAAGACAACATCAAATCCAGTCCGGCCCGGTCTAAGATGGACCACACGGCACACTGAGGATTTATCTCATCTGACTGGTCTCTGTAATCCCTCTGAATACACATGCAACAACAATGTGCATTTCTCTCATCTTCCAAATGAGGGAAGAAACATCTAAAAAGCATTTTTGGGAAGTTTTCAAGATTTCTATCCTAAAAAAATGCCACAAACGGCTGTTGTTTCATGTTGGATTATAGTTGTTTGCAATAATCTGTCATCAAACAAAAACTATAGCATCTTTTTTACATTTAGCCGCTTCCGTCCTGGGTCTACAGCCTCAGTCCTGGATCTACAGCCTCAGTCCTGGATCTACAGCCTCAGTCCTGGATCTACAGCCTCAGTCCTGGATCTACAGCCTCAGTCCTGGGTCTACAGCCTCAGTCCTGGATCTACAGCCTCAGTCCTGGATCTACAGCCTCAGTCCTGGGTCTACAGCCTCAGTCCTGGATCTACAGCCTCAGTCTTGGATCTACAGCCTCAGTCCTGGGTCTACGGCCTCAGTCCTGAATCTACAGCCTCAGTCCTGGATCTACAGCCTCAGTCTTGGATCTACAGTCTCAGTCCTCGGTCTACGGCCTCAGTCCTGAATCTACAGCCTCAGTCCTGGGTCTACAGCCTCAGTCCTGAATCTACAGCCTCAGTCCTGGATCTACAGAGTCCTGGATCTACAGCTTCAGTCCTGGATCTACAGAGTCCTGAATCTACAGCCTCAGTCCTGGATCTACAGCCTCAGTCCTGGATCTACAGCCTCAGTCCTGGATCTACAGAGTCCTGGATCTACAGCCTCAGTCCTGGATCTACAGAGTCCTGGATCTACAGCCTCAGTCCTGGATCTACAGCCTCAGTCCTGGATCTACAGCCTCAGTCCTGGATCTACAGAGTCCTGGATCTACAGCCTCAGTCCTGGATCTACAGAGTCCTGGATCTACAGCCTCAGTCCTGGATCTACAGCCTCAGACACTCCTCTGTGATGCACAAGGGTCTAAAAACAGTGATGTTCCAGGACATTTATTAATACTGTATTTCTGACCAATGGCTCCTATGTGTTTATTGTATTGCCTGTCTTTGAACTGTTTGATTCTCTGATCTGTTGTAAAGGAATTAACATATTTTTCCAGAAAGACAAAGACAAGAGAGAGACAAGAGAGAGACCAGAGAGAGACCAGAGAGAGACCAGGGGACTGGCCTCCTGCTGGGACTCTGAGGAGCACAGGGACTGGCCTCCTGCTGGCACTCTGAAGAGCACAGGGACTGGCCTCCTGCTGGGACTCTGAGGCTGAGTTTACACTGAGACAATGTGGCAGTAAAACGGTATAGTTGGATGTCGGTTTCTACCAAGCGTTCATACGAAGACTGTGTTCCAGGGGGGTCAAAACGTAAGTATTCAGATGCAGCCTGCAGAGTGGGACAACTCAGATACGCTGCACTGCAGGGAGCTTTTTCACACATAAATCCCCGTCTGCTCTGACCCCCACCTCGCCGCTGCTCCCCTCACGTACATTTGGACATGCGCAGTAGCGGAGAACAAACCTAAACAACAATGGGGGCGGGTAAACTAACTAGCTTCGTGGGCTTCGAGTGCGGCACAGAGGATGATTCTGTTCCTTCGTTCGTCCAAACGAGACCACGCAAAGCTCTAGGTTCAATTTCCATGTTCACAGCTGATGTTAAAAGGCAGAATGATGTTGGTGCGTTCTTCCCCTGTTCTTCCACGTCTGGGGAAGACTGGGGGGGCTGGGGGTCGTGTGAGTGTTGTAAAGTTTCTCTGCCCACTACTGGCCGGGCGCTAGAACTACATCGTTTTTCAAATTCAGATGTACTCTGAGAAATTTGCATTAGGAGCCTGGTCGTTTCTGTTAATAGCCTGGAAACGTCTGCGCAGCGTCTCAGTATAAACTCAGCCTGAGGAGCACAGGGACTGGCCTCCTGCTGGGACTGAGGAGCACAGGGACTGGCCTCCTGCTGGGACTGAGGAGCACAGGGACTGGCCTCCTGCTGGGACTGAGGAGCACAGGGACTGGTCTCCTGCTGGTGCCCAGAGTCAGGACTAAACATGGGGAGGCAGTGTTTCAGAAAATCAAAATCTCGATCAGTCTTCTTGAAAATGTGAGACAGGCTTCTTCTATGAAAAATCTATGGGCGGCTGAAGCAATGGTACATTACTCAACCAGATTCCATCCTAAAAACAACATTTTACAGGGAAATGGTGATAGAAAACATGGTTAACAGTTCCTAAAAAGTTCACTATACATATGACTGTAATATCATTTGAGTAATATACATAAGACAACTTTTAGATTACTTACTACTACTTTAAATACTTTTAAGTGAACAAAGCAGCACAAACAGAAGTACTACCTCGGCGCTGGCTCCACTCTCTCACTTTTACTTCTACATATACTTCTATAGGATCTTTGAGAATGCAGCCAGCTCACCTCTGACACTGATACCACGCCAGTTTCAAAGGAATTTTTTATGTCTTTGGAGCAATTTCGGGTTCACTGTTTGACCCTTAAATAAAGCCCAGCTGTGGAAAACCCTCTGAACTCCCCCCTCCTCCCCCCTTTCTCCTCCCCCCTTTCTCCTCCATGCGCTAAATGTACTGAGCCAGAAAA